CGATACCGATATTTTTATTGCATTTGTACATTTTTAAAATATTGGGTACAGAAACCAAAATAGTATGTATAATGTTAGTTGGTTAACTTCATTTATCAAATAGATACAGTCAAACCAAAATCTATTTGGACTGAATGTTTTGAAGTGTTTTAGGCTTGTTCATGTAGTTTTTAGCACACATACACAAATGCTCCATATCTCAGTGGCCAAGTATAATCAGGCAGAGCGAGTACGCTCGCTAGAAGGCCACCCCACTAACTGTGAGACTGGCTGCTTTCATCCCCCTCCCTGATATTTAATTCATGCCACTGCTCAGGTCCAGGTTCCACTCCATAGCCTGTCTGCACCCGCCCTGTGCATGTGCAGTAATTCCTGCCATTCTGTGGCCCCCGCCACAGAGTCTCCCTCAGGGGCGCTGCTGTGTGGTATCGGCGTTTGGTATCGGGGCATTTTAACGAGTACGAGTACAGGAGCTCAGTATCGGGCCGATACCGATACCAGTATCGGTATCGGTGCATCCCTAGTAATTGATAAGTAAATATGCACATTTTGATACTAGGTATCCTGTGCATTTAGAAAATGTCTATTGTGTACACTATCCATACTGTGTACTACAAAAATAGTGCAGGTATTTTTATGTATAGAGTGATATGCAATTCCGAACATACCCTTTGAGAAGGTTATGACTGGACTGAATGTTTTGAAGTGTTTTAGGCTTGTTCATGTAGTTTTTAGCACACATACACAAATGCTCCATATCTCAGTGGCCAAGTATAATCAGGCAGAGCGAGTACGCTAGAAGGGGCACCACCCCACTAACTGTGAGACTGGCTGCTTTCATCCCCCTCCCTGATATTTAATTCATGCCACTGCTCAGGTCCAGGTTCCACTCCATAGCCTGTCTGCACCCGCCCTGTGCATGTGCAGTAATTCCTGCCATTCTGTGCCCCCACCACAGAGACGCCATCAGGGGTGCTCTGGAATAAAGGGTGGTGTTTGCTCTGCCATTTGTCTGCATGTGCATTTTTTCCCCACTCTGGGATCAGGTTCCACCCACCAACCCCCACTGTTTATACCTACTTTTCTGGCATCTCCGCCAACTGCTCTCTGTTAGCCAGGGGCCACAGATTCTCTGCCTTGTCGAGACTCAGGGCCTGGACCCCAGAGACACTGTAGCACTTACTGACCACTGCTGACCCCAAAATTAATCAGTAGGTTTGTTCGGGTATAATGGTTGTTCTGCTGTAGATTGTTGGGGGTCAGAATATTAGTTTTTTTACTGTTATCTGTGCTGACTAGTTGATTAGTTTGTCTTAAGGAAACAGTTTAATAAACCCTGGTTTAGGGTCATGTTTATCAGACACCAAATATAAAACCAATAAATAAATAAAATGTTCAGGTACAAAGTAAATGCAAAGACATGTTTTACTCTGTTCAATTTATCTGTGATGCAGATTTCACTATTTCATTTGGTAAAACTATTGTCAGATTCACAGAGAAACTCTTCACTACACACAAATCCTTCACTGCTTGCTGGAAATAAGTTTAACTAATTTTTGTTATGACAGAAATATTAGTATTGTACAGTAGAAAGTAATAACATTAATATTAATAATAAGGCAGTTTATTAAAGCAGTATTTTTAAGGAATATCACTATGTTTAGTCTGTTTTAATTTAAATGTAAACCTCTGTTGTTCGGCACTTTGTTTGCCAAAAAAAATGGATTGTTAATTTCACTTCATTACATTTTAAAAGATTAATTAGATTAAAACTTTATGCATTCATTTAATTACCATTGTTTTTATCATAAAACACACAGTTGCATTTTATTGGGCCAAATCCTGCAGCCCGGTAAAGATATTTGTAAAGGCAAACCAAAAGCAACATTTTGAAGGGGTTAATTTTAGAAATTATAAAGTCCTCAGAGAGGCTTTTAGCATGCTGTTACTGTTAGAACACTTACTAACTTAATAGTTGTCCCTACTGTTTGACTAGTCAGTCTGTTCCTCATGAAGCCATGTGACTGTTAGCTTAAGTGCATGGCAACGCAGTCCTGCTTAGAACCTTTCGATTCAGAGGGCCTGCAGTGTTAGATAAAGGAGGTGTGTGTGTGTGTGTGTGTGTGTGTGTTTAGACTGCAGTGCTTGAGTGATTGTTTGGAGTCTTTGTGTTGAAGTGTGACCGTGGTGCCTGCGGCCCAGCCTCGGGGTACAGATGACAGGCGCTCTTGACACCTGTGGGCTCTCTGCTTCCTCTCTCATGGGCCTTGCAGTTATCACATTTGAACAGCTTTCACCTGGACATCTTTTGATTTACATGACTTTTTTCCATCAGGTGAAGTGACATAATCAAGGTTAAGGTTTTTGAATCTCCATACAGTTAGTTTAGAAGCTGTCTTTTACTTTGATAGTTCTTAAAAAGCTCTTGAGTCATATTAATGCAGTAGCATGCCAGTTAATCAAGGGCATCAGCTCTCTATGGTGTTTTTCTGAGTTAGCCCAAACAATCAGATGTGCACAGCAGCTCTTTGAATTATGCAGGCATTCACTTGTCGTTTGGTTCAGTTAAGCTGAATCTTTGGCTTCGTTCAAACTGCAGGAAAAATTGGCCCAAATCCAGTTTGTATTGCTAATATGTGACTGATCATTTTCATAACAGATTTTTCATAACAGCATGAACTACCTTTAATCTGATATTTTTTTATTCTGATTTGGAGTACTTCCATATGTGCTCCTAAATCAGATACAGGTCTCAATTTCAGTCTCAATATTCATAATGGAATTCATTCGACGTTGTATTTCACTCTAGATGGATGTTCATTACAATTTTCTGCTTATGGGAGTGACTCCAAAGATTTTACATCCAAGTTATTCTTTGATCAGTCTGTTAATATGAAAGACAGCTTTGAGCATAATCAGTGGAGGGACAGTGGGTTGTTTTAAGTGAATTATAAGTATTACAGTGACTGCTCTATACAAGCACAGCTTAAAGGGTCATGAAACCCCAGACTACATTTTCAGAGATTTTAGCAGAGGTGTTTGTGTTGCACATCTTAGAAGACAATAGCCGTTTCCCAATACCAAGTACGCAAAGTTCGGATTTGCGTCCTTGGTAGTAGGCTTGCTGCGATAGACTGTGTTTTCGGTTATACCGGTGTTAAGCCGCAACACCAGTTACGTCATTTGCCTACCGCGGCACCGCCCCCCACCGCCGTTTAGATTTTTTTATAGTAACAAAAATTATTTAGCCTAGTTCAGTTAGAGGACAGACACTTTTAAAAACTAAATGCTTAATGCAGCATGCCGAACCGTGCGCGAACGATAGTGCACCACGGAGCAGGAGTCAGATTTTATTTATCACGTGAGGAGAGTGAGTCGAGCTGACTGACAAGAGTGAGGTGAGAAAGACAAGACGATGGCAGAAGATTGTTTAGAAAGGAAATGCAAAGGTGCCTGTTTGGCAATATTTTAGATTTTGAAAAGCCTATTGACTGGAAGTTTTTTTTTTTTAAATTTGTTTCTTATTTATTTGGTTCCACAATGTTTGCTGATTACTTTATTTAAACTTTGTGTATTTTATTTATTTTATTTTACATCAAGGTGTATATGCCGTGCCTCCAAGCTTTCTTATTCGTTTTGCTAATAAACGTTCTATGTT